ATAAATGCCATAAATGTTCGATGAACAAATCCCAAATTCTACGAAAATTTGGAGACCAATTTAACAAATATATCAATTAATCAAAACAATACTTAGCAAGGAAGAGTTTAGAATAAAAAATTGCTAAAACGGATTAGCAAGAAACTGTTGAAAAATGATATTTTACGCTGAAAACTGGACGGATATAAAAAGACGAAGAGGGAAGAAAGTGGTAAAAGAAAAATAGTAGCAAACTTGTTGTAAAACTAATTACAAGACTTACTCAGCCAACTTGCTGATAGTTTTTAAAGATCCCAGTGGCAGGGAAACAAAAGGGCCGTAAAATGAACGTTAAAGTAAAAGGTAGGAAAGTTAAAGAAATGAGGGACAAGTAACAGCTTAGATTGGACTTAGGTTCCACTAGGCAGTAAGTGATTATACATCGTTGCGCCACTTTACAGTTTACAGTTTCAGGAAGTTTTGAATCGAGGAGGAAAAGTTACGGGGCAATTATTCTAAGTGAGTGCCTGGAGAACGCGAAGATACCGAAAGGTCACGAAATTTTAATGGATATCTTATCTCTCGAGAGGCGTAAGCATAAAAATAACGAGAGATGACAACAAACAAGTACGACACGCGGTAATAAAGAAGAAAATGAAATAGAAGTAGAATCCTTTCGCATAGTTTATAAAAACTGTACTAACATAAAATTCACGTGTGCAATTGAACGTTTCCTCTCATCTTTATGTCTGCGAATAATGTGGTCCGACATTTTATATCAAAATTTTCATTCGTTAACGCTAATTATTTAAAGTATTTTCCTTTAATTTGATTAATAGTTCGACCATTATTTTAATCAGGTATTTAAAGATCTCGACAATTCGACTCACTTCAGAATATGAATGCCTGAGTCTAGTAATTTATATATGTGAATATTTTAATTATGGCACATCTATTTAATCATTTTATTTCTTTAAACTCATATGAATTTGGTATATTTACCTAAGGAAGGAGAAGATTAATAAAAACTGAAAATAACAAACCTAGACAGGAAGACGATTTCATATTATTATATTATTAAAATATTTAACAATAAAGGAAAATGTCAGTTGTAGTTGTCAATGATTAAAGCGATTCGAGAGAACAAACCAATAACCGAACCGCAAGCTGGCAATGGGAATGGCAATTACATAACTAACAGTAAACCAGAAACGGCGAGTACATAACTGGCAAACGCGATTGGTTTATCACCGGGTTTATGATACTTGGGGATTAGATTTAGAGATTTTGCGCTTGCGCTTACTGGATACTAGGACGGAATGGAAATCATGTAATTTCAATGGCACGCGACTATTGCAAATGATTGGCGGTAAAGTTTAATTCGCTTATTATCTCTACTTCAGATTCGATTAAGCTCGTCACGATTTAGTCAAAATAGTTCAGTCTTCCAAATGTGCTTATCTCAATACAATATTTGTTACTTAAGTATCGTTTTTAAATATATGAACGACTAATATATACATGAAAAATTATTTACTTATTTATCTATTTAAAAATAAAAGACTATACTCCCTTTTCTTCGTCGCACGTATTTAATTAAGACGTATGTATGAAATTCGGTTTGAAATTTATAAAACAGATCCCGAGAATCTTTAGAATGCTTTTGTTTCGCGATACCTATGAGTGTAGAACTTGAAATCGATCGGCTGCGTTCGTTTATTTCGCTTTTATCGAGATCCGTGGAACGAGGCCTGCAATTTCGCGCGGTTTGGGCGCAGCCGGTCTGTTTCAATTAACGATAACGTCATTTAGCCGCTTCACAAAGGGATTTGCAGTTTCGAAGCGACCTCGGTATGAGGCTGTCAGTAAAAACGCGAAAGTGTTTAAATATAGGAGCAACGTAATTCATTAAAATAAACACGACGAAGTTTCTTATTTCTCTTTAAAACTCTGATAGAGAAGAGTTAAAAAAAACATATACAGAAAAAAGATCATTTATTTAAATATGCAAATGAATTTAATAATCCATAGAATGAATATGTTAAATTATTTACTAATTATTAACGACCCACTTTCTTACGTTATTTAGCGTATAAAAAAAACCACCTTATTAGAACTGTAAAATTTTACGACTTCTTTCAAAATCTTCAGACCTTTAAAACTTTGTTTCGTTCCCCTTCAACCCTCGAACTGGAACATGACAAAGACTAAAAAAAAATGGGTACCCGGGAAAATTGAAAACGAACTCACAAAAAACGAACATAAAATTCCAAACGACGGTGAAAATATAACGAAGTCATAAAGTGAATAAGAAATACCCAACTGGTAGACCACAGGAGAATAAAAAACTGAAGGGACAGAAAAAGTAGCGGATTGTTAAAAAGTTTTGTTTTTCGTCAATTACCATTAGAATTAAAATTCGGTACATGTAATCTTTATTAGCAGATCCAGAATTAAATCAACCTCTCAAATTAACGCTATTTCTACCGATCTCAAAAGACACCTTCTGAAATTTTTGCTTAAAATTATTATTATTAGTTTAATACTTTTTCATCAATTCAATTTTTTACTTTCTCTGTACTGGTTGTTAAATTAATTAATTAAATCGAGGAAAAACGATTAAACTAATGATAATAATTTTAGGCGAAAATTTCAGAAGATTGACACCTTTTGGTAAAAATAGTGTTAACCATAACGTCACATTAGAGTAGAAGTAAAATTTTAAGGGACCTGAATAATACACGTAATATGTATTATTCACAAGCTTTCTTCGGTTATATGATAAATGTTCGAATGCTTCCTTGAGCTACTGTACGCATGTAACGTATGAACTATGGCAGCAACGAGGAATTCGCATTTTTCACCCGTAACGGGTAGAAGAGAACAGTCGACACGTTCGGAAAGAAAGTTACGTTCTGAGCGAAGTTGATAAATATATTCCGCGCCGCGCCGTCCTACATGGATTTACCAGATGGCGAAACGCGATGCGGGAGGAAGAGGCGCGGCGGATAAAATAGCGTGCATCGTCGCGAAGAGAAGCCGAGCTGTGCTTCCACCACGGACAGAGATAACGCGTACTCGTTTCTCGCTACATAAACTCATCATCCATGGGCGGAGCTCGTCGACCGACCGGCTGTGGCCATATACCCGGGAACGAAAATCCTTCGTCTTTCTTGCGGAAGAAAGACGAAGGCTAAGGCCTCGCTCGAACGCGTTTCTTCGTTACAGCCTGCGAAAAATGTCGGCCAACCATCAGGACTCGCTCAACCGAGATAAAACGTCATACCAGAAACCACGAATCGGGTTAAAAAATGAAATGCTCTTGAGCTTTGAAATTTCACGGATGAAGGCAAAAAACTGCCAATTCTTTTTACAGAAATAGTATTCTTTTTTTCTAGGCAAATCCAGAGCTTCAGAAAATTTTAACAAATGTGCACGAAACATTTTTTTTTATTCAGATTCGAAACACATTTTATCAATAATGTATTATACGAAAATATTCCTGTTATTTTATAAATAATAAATGCTTAATATCTGCGTTTAACCAAAATGCGTTCAGGATTAAGTTTTAGTCCGAGCGTATCTTCGACGCCGCATTTCCATTTTATGCAAATCGAAACAGCTGCGGGACAGAGAGAAGAACTACTTCTAACTACATACTCGCGTATAATTGGAGGCTTCGAACAGGAATGTACCTGTAAGATTTGTGAAACAGTAATTTCAAAGCGATAAACGTTTGTAAGTGGATTGGCGAACTACGATTTCTCGTTGCGTTAGTAACATTTAGAGCATTCCTGTGAATAATTTTATTGCAGAGATAATAGCGTGACAAGTTACGAGAGTTCGTGGTAAGTGAAAATTTGCGATAACAATTGGTGCCAAGAATAATACCGTAGTTTTATTTCTTAATAATTGGGTAAGAGTACTTCGAGCCTCGTTTATTGAAACTTGAAATCAAACATTTTTATACACACCTCACCTATTTAAAGCAGTTTGTAAAATATATAAAAAGAGTGAAATATTGTAACATTAATCATACAACAAATTGGGCTTATAATTTTACATATTATAGATTTTATTAAATTGGCACATTAAATAAACGAAGCAGTCAACGAATATTAAACTGAAAGCTTGAAAGTGTTCAAAAACATACCCGAATGCCCGAATTCACGAAATCGTTCATTCTACTCATTACTACTTATTCGAAGTCCAAACAGCGAATAAGTAACCGGGTCTCTTCAGTGTAATTCCAATGAGTGCTGTTCAACATTCGTAATTAAATTTATTGAGAGTTAAAGCGACGACAGTGTTAGCATACTACCATAGAAGTGACCGAGGCGACGTTAATGCGCCGAGAGAAAATTCAGGTACGCGCCCTGCAGACATTTGCATATTTATGTTAGAAAGCTTAAGGAAATTACATGGCTTGCTTCAATTCATCTAATAAAATAAAATGGTGCGAATACATTCCCTAGCCGTGGTTATTCAATGTATCAGCGTTACGATAATGCTGATAAAATGTTAAACAAATCATGAGATGAGAAACACAACATTGACAATTAATTATAGTAAAATATGTGTATGATTTAAATCCTAAGCAAATTAGTCAGGACTTAAATCCGTCTGAGCTCTGCTTAAAACAGTTTGTAAAACGCGCGATGCTTTTACGTACTTAACATGTGCTTTAATGCTTACAAAGCTTTGAGTGACAAACAGACGATAAAAAGTATGAATATATGTAGCGTGTGTGTTTATTCTAGAATAAAAATGTGGAATACTTGTGCTTTAGAAAATAAGGGTGAAAATCGTTTTATACATGGAATCTGAATATTTTTACACTGTTACAATGTGATTTTGTCAAATTGGTTCTTAAAATATTCAAGAAATTTCCCATTTAACGAAAATAATCATTTTAAATAAGAATTAATAATTTATATTCTTTTCATCTAATCTTAATACTTGTTCGCTCAAATTATTAAGAAATACTAAAGAGAAAATGGTAACTTTTGGTTTACTTTCAGGTCTCCTTCTTCTCTACCAGCCCGGAACTCTCGAACAAACAACGATTCGAGTACTTCACGCGCACTATACCGAGCGATCACTATCAAGTAAAGGCAATGGTGGATATCGTATTGACGATGGGATGGAGCTACGTATCGATCATATATGAGGAGAGCAATTACGGGATAAAGGTGAGTTAAGTTTCTCATAACTAAATACTAAGCAGTTGAAAAAAAATTTGCAATAAATATTTTAAATAATCAAAGTAATTTCATGTTATATAAAATACTGAAATTGAAGGCCTTATAATAAAAATAAACCTTGTCAAAACCAACGAACCATAAAATCTTCAAGTCAATTATTTATTTTAACCCTTTATCTGGCAAGCATTGAAATTTCAAATGAATAAATTTGAGAGTTATCCAAGTTATGGAATTTCTTTCACGTGCAAGCTGCTAGAAACACATATTGCTTGAGATCCACATTATCAAATAAAGGGTTAAATATTCTTTTTTCACAATATCGTGAAAAACGAGTAGCCTACGAACTTGTATTGTACTTATACAAAATGAAAATTTGACTATAACAATTTTAAATATAACGTTTTGAAAATTAGTAATCTAATAATACAAAAAGGAAAATGTATATGTATATATGTCTACCCAATCTTCCTACTACCTACCCTTCAATTAACAGAAATTAGCATTGATATTAGTCCAGCGGATTCCAGCAGCTACATTTATTACGATCACATAATTAGGATAACCCTCGGTAGTAATATAGATAACAGGAGCTCAGCTAACTCCAGTTCAGTTAGTTGGATATTATTAAAATTTCGTTTGCATAATGAGGATTTAGAGAAATGTACTTTAATTAACAAGGAAAAGTAATCTCTTCATTTTATTTATAATCCTTTGTACAAGACAAAATTAGTTAGATACACGTAAATAAAAATTATCATATATAATATGATTTTATCAAACTACCTTTAAAGGATTCCCAAAATTTGATGTCCTAAAAGTAAAATGTAGGATCATTAAGTTATATTACGTACTAATATTGATTGCCTCTAGTCATCTATTAATATTAGATGTTCTCAGTTAATATTAATATTGGATATTCCTATTCAGTATGTGGGTATGAATATTGTACAATTTTATTCATTATTAAGATTGTATGCAATTAATATTAGAATTGACTGCACATTTCCATTTCATATTGATATACAACTATACTCGTATTACATATCATCGTTCAGTATTTTGTCATTAAATCAGCACGTATTTGGTGAATCTGCAATTTAGTGACACGAATATTCACAGTGAACAGTGTTCAAGTTAAATTCACAAATTTGGAAGGCACTGATTAAAACTGTGGGAGAAGCTACATGCGCAATCGACTAATGTCTGAAGTCTGAATAGTTTAAAAGTGTTAGAAATCAAGTGCAGTGAGAAATGAGGGCAGACTACGCCATCAATCGTGAGTTCCCTTGATAGATGCGAGCCAAGTTGCTATCCGCCTATCCCCATCTGGTACCGTGTTTCGCGGATAATATTTTTCAATGTTCAAATGTCACAGTTAACGCATGTCAACTTGCCTCAAGTCTATCTGAATACGTAATCACGTTGTCATTTATCCGAATGTATCTAACTTGTACAATAAGATTACGTAACTCTAGTAATACTATCTTAACTTCGCATCTGACACAATTGGTTACGAAGTAAATGAACTAATTATTTCGTACAATTAACTGGGATATTCTAGCACGAGAGCTTCTATGGTATTATTTAAATTTAAGATCTACTCCCAAACAATTTTCAGATCTCAAACTTTTCAATCCTCCATGTGCAATTAAAATTGCATTAATTAAGCATTAAAATTTATTTCGAAATTCAACCCAGATATTCTTCAATACCCAGTCTGATTTTATTGTTTGAAAATCCATTTTAAGCAATACTTAATTTATCAAGTATCAGTTAATACGACGAAGGGAAAAAATCGGTGAAAAACCGCGTGATCTTGTTTTGCATGAAATTCAAAACGAATAGGTGATCGATCCGCGCGCACAAGGGTTCCGAAACAATGCACTTAGTCGTCAATACGATCACCACTGCGACTATCAACTCCAGAAAATTCGTATTACAGTTATCACAGTGCAATAGTTGTAACCCGTATCGCTGCGAACGTTTTGTAACATATATTTGTCATTAAACAAATGTGCATCGTGTGCACCGAAATCTACGTCCTGCAGCAAGCGAAATCAAAAACAAAGATAAAGTTCATTTCGTCCCGGAATTCGTGTTAATATAAATTTGAGATATTTCATTTAACGTGTACAGAGGAAATTATATTCACGAGATTGAGTTTCACTGGGCAAAAGATATAAAGATAAATCCGCATTACACATTTTGAAAATAAATTCTTACAACACACATGTGCTAAAATACATATATGAAATGTAAGATATTTCATGTTAGGATATCTGATTTCACATTTTTCCTATTTTCTCCTATCAATTCCTATTGATACATATCAGCCATTGTTTCTCTCCAAACCGCGTAAAATCCAATTTTTAATATGTTCGTTCTGTATAAAAAAAGGGATGCTTGTACGAAAAATATAAATAGGTTTTTAGCAGAATAGGACCGAGCACGTTAATTCACATTAAAATAGAATCGTATACCTCGCCCGATTCCGGTAGAGTTGACAGCATGACAGCACCGTGTACAGCCACAATTCACCAAACACGGACCATTATATTTCGCGTTACCAGAATGGCCACAATGTCTCTCATTTACCAGTAGCCTACGTAATCAAATTATTTGCTGATAGAAAAACACCATACTTCATCCTCTTTCCTACCCTGTCCGATTTAACAGAAGCTTATTTAATAAAATATGTACTACCCTTCGCTTATCAAAATATCTTGTGTTTAAAAACGAAGGAACATACAAAATTCAATAAAGCAAATTTGTAAAATCAACGAAAATCTGACTTCAATCAGAAATACTACAAATGGAAAATTCTTTTGAAACTTTTTCTTTCAAGTTCTTATTGAGATTATTTATTGACGATTATTAATGTAAGTTTTTGTGATCGTTAATCTCGAAGTTCAGTCAGACTACTCGATAATCGATAAACTTGCACTTATAAGTTAAAAAGATTTGAGAGTAAGATCTAAGAAGCAAGTGTATGATAGAGATGGTTTTGACGTGTATCCTCGTGGATCGTTCTCTACTTCCGACGTACCCGGTTTCATGGCGCGCTTCCTGTCTGTTCTTTAACTAACACTAACTTTACTGGTCGTCGCAGCGCCGACACTATGCTAATCGGCTGTAATTAAAACCGTAGCGAACGTCTGACGGGCGCGAAGTTATTTTCCGAAATTATTCCCTCTACTATCCCGTTAGCTTCATTCCTGGTTCAAGTGAAATTAACCGGAATTTCATACTGCGAGAGTTTTGTGTTAATTCAAAACCGCCCAGCAATCCGATTTATACCACCGTAGTGAGTGGTTTCACCATTTATGAATGGATTTAAAATTTATTACCAGTTTTCTTGTTATCGGATTATCATCTTTTCGTTAACATGCCTTCTCATTTTATTGCACTTCTTCCACTTTCCAAGTACAATTACCTGGGCCTGAATCAGCCCCGATTTATACTAAATGACAATGATTTAAAAAAAAGAATTCATTTTATAAATGAAAAACCATGTATTCATACAATGTAAACGTATTATGGAAACGTAAATTTTTCATATCCGATGCACACTTTTTCCGACCAATAAGCAAATTTAAATTTTAAGAAAACTTACACATACAAAGTAAAGTGTTCGAAGCTCACATTTCATACAGATTAATTAAGATGAAGAAAACAGTGAGAGAACAAAAAATGGAAGTAATGAGTAGTGAATGAACGATATGATCGCAGAAACGAGTAGTGCGCGTGCATAAAGCTAGTTTAGCTCGTATCCCATTAGAACGTCACGTGAACGAAATTAACAGGCGGCTGCGATGTAAATTATTGACAACGCGTGTAAATAAATAACCAGATATTTCACGCTATTGTAGATAACCGATCGAGTCGCGAATGTACACTACGTAGGTATTCCAATTACGATATTAATTAACCTGTTTGACGGCAGATTTTATGAAACATCAATTACTACCTAACGGTTCGTGTTGAAAGGGAAGAGGAGAAAAAAGAGGAGACAAGACCCTTATCTTTATTACCGGTTGCAATTCTTATGCGATGTAAAGGAATGAGAGAATGAATCTAGACGTGAATCTCATACGGATGGAATTACATTAAAGGAGGAGAAATAATACCTGCAAAGTAAGAGCTATTATTAACGAAACAGCAGGAACAAGACTAATTCTCAGCGAGTTTTACTCCGCTTGATATAAAATGTATGTCACGTTTATGAATCAACTAAAACATATTTGCATTATGGTTTTAATAATGAGTGAGAGATACTACAATTTTATTTATATAGATCACAGCGTATCACGCGTATTAAGTTAAATAACTGTTACTAAAACTGCGAACATTAAAACATCCTGAACTAATCATTAAAGAGCCTGAACATTAAAAAAGAATGAAACTATGCAACTTCAAATTCCTTATACAAAATTTGTCCATTCTGACTCTCGTTAGTGATCCTTTGATGCTAACTATGACTGAATGAACGAGCGTAATTAATGTCAGCAGCCGGCAGAACTTCCATCGCAGCCTGTTAAGTACTTCATCCAATGTATGCACGTAAGATTGCGTGCATATAATCAACGTGACATTTGGCATCGTTTGATAGTAAGGAAAAAACTAAAGTGAGCTGGGAACAGGTAGACGAAAAATAAGCAAATAGGTACACGCTTAATTAGGTTCTTTTCAAAATACGTGGCTATGGAACGATCGACCTTGCGTGGCCCATATTATCGTCACGCCAACCGTAAGACAAAAGCAGTTTTGCGCGCATGCAAAATTCTTTGAGGTATACATACATACATATACATACATGATACACTTTATGCCAATCACTAATGTCGTAACTACGTCACTAACAAAGTCAAAGTACGGAACAATTCATACAGTAGAAATAACAATGATGATGGCCATGTGAGATAAAGTTGTCTAGATTTTTCTCGAAATATTAATTCGGAATAGTAATGCTTCAATAGTTATCGAGTGAT